TAGGCATAAAATACAGTAAAATGTAATTTTTCAGAGGCGCATTTTTTTTTAAGAGATGCGCTTGAAAAAGTACGTTTTGGATTTAATAGTTAAGTATCCCTTTCTTTTTTAAAGATACTTATCCATTTTGATAACGATAATAAGTGGGATGGGCAGATCTGGAAAATATTCATTGAATTATTATAAAAATATTTAGGAGCGATTGCAACTGCAGAAAGTTTAGTATATTTGGCAATTAAGTGATAATACTGAGAGTATGTTCCAGAAAAATGTGGATAGAATTTATGCAATTTTTTGGGTATCATCATTAGTCACATCACCTAGTGTCTTCCGGATTCCCAGGTTATGTCGAAGTTACGGAGCAGTCGAATATTAGGTGGTGGGTATCAAAGATCAGCAATGAGAAGGATAGGAAGGAGAAGACTAGCATAAACTTTGAGTTAGTTAGAAATAAGGAACAAAACGCTTTCTTCTATCTGTTAACAAGATTAGCTGTTTTCGGATTCAGAAATGATATATGATTCGTAAATCATAATAAATAGAAATTCGAATTGAAATGAAACATTAGATTCTGGATATTATTTTTGTAGTTTGAAATCCGTCTATATGTTGACCAGTTTGTAAATTTAATTTTGTTGATGAGCAAAGTGTTAATCGTATCATTCAAGCTCATCCACCAAAACGAATGCATGAAGGCAGCACTATTAGAGGGGATGAGATACAAATTGAGAAATATAATCCGTAAATGAAAAATTTTGAATTCCATCTTCGATTAATGGTACAAAAAGTTGACGGGAGAGGTGGAACCTCTAATATCTTCTGAACCAAAATCAAAACTCTTAGTTCTTTAGCGATGTTATCTTATATTAAATTGGTGGAAAAGTTCTGATTTCTGGAATTATTTTTGTCGTTGTTCATTTTTTTTTTTAAATTCCGAATAACAATCCATTTTATTATGCCATTAATGCATAGTTGGTGTTTACTTTGGTTGACCGGTTACAAACACTTATTTGTTATCTGCGTTTCCCAAACAGAAATCATTGAGAGGACTATCAATTTAGAAAGAGATTTCTTCGAAGCATTCCAAGAATCATCGTTGTTACTCACCTTTTCATTTGTTTTTGTCATTTTTTTTCCTTTTTAACTTCCAACCCTTTTCTTTCTTCTCTCTAATAATTAATAGTATGTTAGAAATAACTAAGTGTAAGTTTTTTCTTTTTTCATGTTTCTGCTGATTACAATAAGGTTGGCAGTCATAGAAATGATTAATGTAATAAACAAGAAAGTATCGTTATTTTTGCATTTTTGATACATTACTGGGAGATAGGAAGAGGACAGGAGAGGCGTCGTTGTCTTGAGAAAAAATCAGACATCATTAAAAATAACAATTTTCGACAAATCGCACCGAACCTGTTCTATGACGACTGTTAGTATTTCGGTATCACGTCCCTCATATCACTATGACACCACTGAATCTCTTTAGTATTAAAACCTTAGATGGAAGGAAGAGGTGATTGGTACAGAAAAGAGGAAGGGAATCAACGAAGGACTTTGAGTGTTAGTACTTCGGTTTCTTAATGGCACTAAATTTTCCATACATTTCTAGTAAGAGGAATTATTCTAAACATGACGTGGTATCTCGACCTCTGAAATCGAAGCTCCCCTATTGTACTTGGCTTTATGGAGTTCCAACTCATATGTTTTAGCTCAGGGTTTCTTTTCCTTCATCACTGGTGTTATGGGTCAAAGAGGACTTCGAAAAATAAATGGAACATAAAAGCTCAGGGATTGTAGAACCTGAATATTGAACTATTAAAAATATTTTCGGTCATGATAGCTTCATTGCTTTTAAATCAGTTCAGGTAAATATCTCATTTTAGTTGATGTTCTATTTAAATTAAATGGAAATGATACAAAAATTTCTCGCACTGTTGGCAGTTTCCTCGTTTTGTTTCAGTCGAAAAGTCCGAACATCTTGCAATGTCATTTTTACTGCGTCATACTTCCGAAATGGTTGAACCACACCGAACTTCTTTGATTAAAAATCATCAAAATATAATGCATCTGAATCAAAAAAATCCGATCCATTTCAGCGTTTGGGCAAAGAATACGAACAATTAGCTAACTGTCCTTCACTCATTTCAGTTATTAATTGAATTTATTGATATGTATATTTACAGCGACGCACCGGTGGGAGTAAGGAACGCTTGGGTGATACCTCATCCGGTGCTTCTGAATAACGCCATACCACCAATGTTCATGTCCTGCAATACTGTTCCGACGTCTTCCACCTCGCCAACTCCCATGTTTTTTGATCACGGTATGTTCATTTGTATTACTGTTGATTTCTTTCACTGAATCGAAGCTTGTGGCCAATTAGCCGCTGTACTATCTCCTCATTCAATCTTCAAGAAAGATAAAAATTTCAATAACAAATGTCCAAAATATATGTGGGCACTGCCACTCGTAAAAGAGCAACTAAAACTTTGCGATTTTTTAAAATAAATTTTTAACTGGCTTTTTTAACTCGCATTTCCACTGAAAATGTTACACAAATTTTTAGTTGACAATAAAATAGTAATTCTCATGCGGTGATACGCGAGCATTAAAATTTGGATCGCAAGGGCTATTAAGAATTATGTGCCTTTTTTAATATTATAGTGTTGCTCTTGTTTACTAATACGTTAAAAGTTCCGATTAAAGCATATTTTTAAATTAACACGATTTATTATTTCTGAACAGATAAAAAATTTAGAGTAGTCTCTCGTCAAGAAAAAGTTGGAAACCATTACAATAAAATGATTTGCTAAAATAACCTTTTTGTGTCGCTTTAGTAAATAAGCAAATAACCGCTGGAAAACCGATAGTTGTTCCTGAAATTCTGAAAAGGAGTAAATGTTTTGGATGTATATGACTTGTCTTGTTGGAAGTATTTATCCGCACGACTGTTTTTCAGCGATGTTGCTTGATGATTGCCTTGTGCTTCTTCTCTGTCATTAATGCATTTTGTCATCAAGAACAGAATATATAATATGCTTGGAAATAAGGTAAACCTATCAAGGTGATCAGTAATGGATTTATTTCTAGAAATGATAAAAGCACAAATCATATGTATGGAGTTAATGTTTTGACAACTTAGAATACTTATGGGAATCATTCAACTTGCAAATTAACAATGGTAAGATAGGTGAATAATTACTGAAAATAATCACAGGCAATTACAAGTTAAAAATGTACATCTCATTTCTCTTCTTACCCTTCCTTCCCTATCGTAAATTTTCAGTGATTATTTCTATGTACAAATATTTGAAAAATGTGAAACAGACATTCTACCTCATCCTGTTTTGACTTTAATAAGACGCCCTTTTTGCTTGTTTCACTGATTTCACGATCATGGCGGGAATTTTTGTAATCATTCTTTTTTGCACATCCCATTTGATTTCTGGACATCAGTCACAGGCATCATGATCGAAGACACGAAGAATCAACTAAGCTTTCAATTACATTGTAGTGCACTAAACTTTTGCTGCTATGGCCAATTAATAATTGCTGTTACAATTTGTAATGACGAAGAAAGTGGAGATGACTGTTAATTGTGTAATTATGATTTCCAATTAAGTAGTCTTATTTAGTTCGAATTGTTGTGCAAAACCTCTCCAGAAAACAACACTCATTTCTTAATGTTTGTTTCTTACTTTTCTCATTCACATTGCACCTTTCATCACATTGTAATGCTTTTCCACTGGTATAATGTTAACATTTGCATGATATTCTCGTCTTAGTGAAGGAATGTCGATCCATAAATTTATTTTCCTGGAGCAGATTGCATTGAATATGGTGGTAATTTATGCATTTGGAAAATTAAGATTCTAATGCTAATGTTATTGTTCGTAATTTTAGAGGAAAATCATCAAGTGTAGGCTTTTCCTAGTAATGTTGTGTGGATGCTAAACGTGGCAACAGGACTGTCCTAAACTTTTTGTCCTACATTGTCTAGTTAGAACATGACAGCTCATTACGTCTGTGCATTGCTCTTGAGATCAGTCGAAAAGTGATATTCTTGTCCATTACGGGAAAGGACATCATGCTTCGTATTTTCTTCCTGTCGAGATCGTCACGATGTTATTAACTTTATTTATTATTTGAAAGCTATGTACTTGATCCAGGAAGGATCATGGCCACTTTCTGTTCTTCAACTTTTGTTAACGATCATCTCTCGCATTATTATATGATCTCTAGCTATGCAAAAGTGATGTAGAGATAAAAATGATCTAGAATTTTGCTGATTCGTAAAGTAGAGGATAAGTCCCGTTAATTTGTCCCATTATTTCATTTGAATTATTCCTCTTATATTCGACGATTGTTGATCAGTAACATTGCCTTATACGCATCTATTCATGCACTGTTGTATGGCAAAGTAAAAGAATAACAAACGAGTAAATGGTTCATTCAATATAATCCTCAAGATAGTTTTGTAGAATTTTCTTTCTAAAATAGTTTCATAAACATTTCATATTCAACATTGCATTTTTTTGCTGAAAAACGCGCAAAATCTTACAGGAGAGTAGAAGTAATCATAGAAGTGCAAGAGGCAGTTATCGGTGTATATTATCATTTTTAAGTCTTGGTATCGTCAATTCTTCTCTTACCTATAATGTACCATTATTTTGATAGGAAAAAATATTTGAATGTTATGCCAGTTGGGGAACGGACGATTCGCTATGCGTTAATCGCACTAACATTTTAAATCTATATATCTATCTATCTATCTATCTATATATATATATATATCGTTTTATTGGTATTTAAAAATGCTGCTTCATTCAGTTGCATTGCTCATAAAATTTGATTTTTATTAGTGAGAATATGATTTATATGAAATTTGAGCTGAAACTTCTTAAATATTGTTGGGGAATGCAATTTTCGACTTTGTTTTTTCGCATTAAGAAAAAAGAAAAAACTTGGGAATCGTTTAAAATAAGGATTTAACTGAACTCAACGTTTGATGTTCACTCGCATCGAAAAACATTACAGTTATTAGCATAAGTTCAGCAATTATACGTATATGATAAATTCAAATACAAAAATCATTCATTCTCTTCCCAAGAAATATATATGATAATTTTTACATCATATTTCAAATGCAGCTACTGTTTTGCTCGAGCGGTTGTTCCATTACTTCTATAAATGCGGTGGGGAGTAGATTGTAAGCGAAGTTTTTTTTTGAATGGTTTAGAATAATCTAATTACCTTTTTTTATTACGAATACTTAAGGTAATTTATTAATGTATAATAAATCAAATTCTGCAATAGTATTAAAAACACTTCGGAATGACAGTACTTCATCGATACTATTTAGCGTCTGTTCAATGAGGTTAAATAATGATGAGTGTATAATTTACAAATCATGGTGACCTCTGTCTGTTATATGAGCACTAGCTCGATGACACTTCAAATCCATTTCAAAGCATCCGTACAAAAATACGGAAATGTTGTACTATCCTATTTCAGAAACATTGTGTTTGGATTTAGCATTACTTTAACTTTCAAATTTCAATTTTAAAAATTTTTGAAAATGCATATCCAAAACGTGTTTCGCATTTCAGTACGAGGTAATATCAATGTGACACATCGTGCGCCAACCTCCATTGGTAGTAATGACCTTTTTGTGCATGTGCAAACCGGCGAGACTCTTTCAATCGTTATCGGGAACGACGTTCAACATATATCAGGTTTGTTTTACCCTATTTTTGCATTTCTTTGTGTGACAAAATTCTTTGTGTTCCTTCCGCTACTAAGCATTTTTTAAAATGTTTCAGTTCAAAATTTAAATTTTGTTTTTTGAGATTGACATGTCTTAGTAATGAAATATTTTAAGGCCCAGCAACTGTGCGTATGGTAAATCAGGCTGGTATGTCACCATCTGCTCTTCCATTGCATGTTCCACCCGGACATATGGTTCAGCAAATGGTTGATGAGCAGGTTATTTTTCATCTATTTATTGCACCGTTCAAATTATTCAAGCTTTTTTAAACGGAGAAGACTGCGCTTTTTCGTATATTTCTAGGGTCAAGTTGCTAGGTATATTTTGTTATCCTTTTGTGAAGCGTTGGTAAAGAGTGGATTTGATGGGAGGTTTTTTCATTTCTTCCTACTTCTTCACTGAACGACTAGAAATGCCGAGCTGGGTTAGGGTTTGAGGCAATTGATGAACCTAAGAAACCTTGGGTTTTTCAGAGGAACTCATCCACAATCTTTTATTTTCTCTATGATATCGTTCAGTGCTGAGATCTGATTTAGATTACCATGAATCACCTACCTATTTAAGTTTTGTTGATAATTTCTTGAAGCGTCGATGATGATTTAAAGTGTAACTGATGGTGAATTATAGGGGGTTCTGCGCCATCTGATTTTATCACCAGAAGCTACGCCCGGATCGCGTTTGATACCGGTTTGCTTTAGTCTTTTTGTTTGAAATCTTCAGTTATTACAATTTACGAATTTCAAATTGGTGAAAACAGTGAACTTGCTGTTGCAGTAGATTCCATTTCCAAAGAAAAATAATTCGAAGGAGTAATAAATTATGAGCTTGTCATTCTTTTTGTCAGAAAATTATAAAGCTGCAGTTATTAGGTAGCTTTCATACCGGTTTGGAGGATGATTGAGATAAAACTCGACTAACATGTCTTCTATTTTCCATTAATTGCATCAGATGAGTTATTGAAAACAGCACTCCTTTAGAATGTATTGGTTTACCTTGGCGAATAAACTTTCTCAGAGACAAGGGATTACTGACCAGGACGTACAAGTGTTGCGTTTATGAATTAATCTTTTTTCTTAGTCTACTTAGGTCTATAGGCCATTAGAAATGTGAGCATATAAATGCATGAAACATTTCGGCGTCGACACACTTCAGAACAGGTGTGACGTAAATCATTTCTTACCACTATTCTCACTGGGCTTTTGCTAGTTCACAATTTCGGATTGTTTTCGATAAATGATCATTCATTCTGAAAACGATTTATGCAAATGGGAGATTTGCTTGGAAAGTGCAAATTTTAAATTGGGAAATTCCATTTCAGAGAAAATAGTTTAGAAAAAGTTTTGTCTCACGATTTGCAATTCTTCTAGCAATTGCACGAAAATAAAAAGGAAGTATATTAGATTTATATAGCCCTAATTACCAAGACTTTTTTTTGTCTATTTTCAAAAGTTTTTGTTGTTCGAGTGAAAATGAAGGAGATTTCTCCTTTTCTACCATAGATTTTTTAAAAATTCCGGGAATTTAGCTTCATTTTTTTCACTAGCAAAATTAAAGTAATGGTAAGAAGTGTAGACTATGACATACGAATAATCATCATAATTAGGGGAAATTGTTGCTAGTAGTACAATAATTTTATGATTTTTAGACTGCCCCACCACCAGCAACGATCAGTGCAAATACACCACTCCATAGTTCAAGTGCGATAACACCGTTGAAATCATTTGCGCATAATTCACCTTCACCACCTATCGTGCCTCCATACCCACCTCCAGCTGTGCCCTACCCTCTTCATAACACTGCTGATTTTAATGAAGGTAAAATGCTTTTCTTCAAATTCTCATTGTTTTATTTCTTGCATTTATATTACTACTACGGACATCTCATTCTTTTGTTCGGTGTTGCATCTAAAAATTTGGAGTTAAAAACGCAGACTGGAACACTCCTAACTTTAAGTTTCATTTATTCTTCATTCTTCATTTATTCTTTGAATCCAAAACTTCTTCAAATTCAAAACACATCAAATTTATGTACTAAGAAATATGAATTCTAAATCTTTGCTATTTTCCAGATAGTCTTCGAAAAACTTGGATACCACACGGTAAGAAATTCGACGGATCACATGTAATGCAAGTACCAGCCAATAATGCCGACGATCATGTAAGTATATATCTTAGAGATATATTAACAAATAATGCGATATTGTTTATGTGTTGCAAACGGTACTTAACTTTCCACCTTTTAGTCCTTTTTCGAGCAATCACACTCAGCTCCCCCCACACATAAATTTTATTGAAAACGGTTATTCTTAGTTTTTTTTTGAAAATACTGGTTGCAGAAAAATGAATGTTCTTGAAAAAAATGAATGAAAAAAAATGAGTGTTCTTTTTGTTTGATGTTAGTGTTGATGAGCTACTCGCAAAAGAAGTCCTAAAAAAGCTCAAATTTGCTTTAATCCCTAACATATTTTAACTCTTTCCAATTCTTTGTAGTACACACAAATAGTAGCGCTGAGGGACCATTAGTTATTAGATTTACCTGTAGATTTTCCTTAGTTGTACTTTTCTGACTTCTTTGTGGAATGCAGGTAATAGTTATCCAGATAATTCAGAATCTACATTACTATATCCGTATGGTCTGAAATGAAGTTGGAAATAATGATTGGCATGTCTGCTAAAATCTGGTCGTTAATGTGAGACAACAAAAGAATAAATGATTTGGATTTTTTTGCGATAAAACTAATAGCATCTCGAAATAATTCAGTTGAATTAATTTACTGTACAGATTGCGATTGAATCCAATATTCAGGAACAAAGTCAGTCAGGAGCTTCAGCAAATGAAGAGGAAGAGTGGGAACGGCTTACCGAAATGCTTTCACGAATGCAGTCGCCTCAGGTAGAAGAATTGAAATATATCAGTTTATTTACATCCGTTTTGATTCTTATCATTCGTTCCATTTGGAAAATTCTAAAGAATCCAAGATCTCATTCCAATTTTTAGATTCTTCGAGTAGCAGCAAGAGAAGCTGATATTGCATGGCAAGAATTAGATACGTCCGAAGCATCTGCACCTGGTGGACCATTTCCTCAGATTGACGCATCCGAATTTACTTACGACATTGTCCTTTTCGAAAATGTAGGACGTATTGTCAATAGTTATAGGTTAATTTTATGCTACTGTTTTCTTAAATGGATAAGAGATCCACTGTTTACTGGTTAAAGTTATTGCAAATGCTTATTTTTTGCGAGGGAAAGTTTTTCTGTTCTTTTCATGTAAACTTCCTTCCTCTACTTTCTTTTAGAACTTATTTAAATATATTTAAAGCTATTTGTTTTCTTTAAAAGTCATTTCAAAAAAAACGAAACTGTCAGGAAGTTTAGAAATGACAAGGAATGATCAGAAAATTCATGTTAGCTTTTGTTTTAGCTGCAATTATTTCGTTATTTTTTTGAAAAGAACCAACTTTCAGATGTGAGCCTGATTCGGGTAACCGAGTACGTCTATGTCGTCTTCGACCAAATACCGAATATTATGTGCAGCTGAGAGCTTCACTGGAGGAACGTGGTTTACAGGGTAACCCATCAACTGCTGTAAAATTCCGAACACTTACAACGACACCAGAATCTCCACATCCTCCGCGTTTGGTGTCACGCACGCATAATTCAGTTACTGTTTCGTGGCGTTCTGCTGTTGATAACGGTTCACCGATTACATCCTATCGTCTGGAATTGACATCTGTAAATTTTTTGATGTAGTAATCGACATTGCGGTAATATTTATGGAATAAGCATTTAGGAAACAAGTAATTAAGTAATGAGTTTAACTAAGCTTTTGAATAACAAACAGTATTAACAAAAAGGGATCGGTTAATTTTATGACTGTGTAGGTCAGCATTTAATTTGTATCCTAATAACTTTCTTAGAAGAAAAAATAATCATCGTGATGTATCACTTGGATTTTGATATTCAAATAATCTGGATCACATTCCAAGCGAATTTTTCGACTTTTGGTTTCACTGACTTATTAATTCTATTTTATGTTATTCTGATGCTAAATTTAATGCTTGAAGCTAAACTGTATGTTCCTCGAGGATTTTAATTTTAATTTTAATTCTTTTTTCTTTTTTGTAATTTACATTTTGTTCAGAGCAATGGTTATCCATACCATATTGCTTTTGAGCAGCAAGAATGTAGGATATGACGTTTTCTACAACACATTTCTGTTGTTCTAGTCGACATATCGTTCATTTCTTCTTAGGGCGGCCAACAGGAAGAGGAAAGTTATGAAACAGTGTACGAAGGCTTAGCAGAACAGTTCAGAATCAAAGGTCTAACATCATCAACACGATATCGAGTTCGCCTGACTGCTACGAATAGTGATGGAGATTCGCAGCCATCGGCTGCAATTAGCGTTTGTACATCAGCACTTATCTATCCGCCGAAGCAACCGCATTGTCCTCAGCTTGTTTCTATATCAGCTAAATGTATCAAACTTTCTTGGAATACTCAACCTCAACATTCTTATACGGTTTGGCTTTAATTTTTTAGCTAGCTTTCAGGCTGTTCAATTTTTTCGAGCTTGGAATGGAAGAATTGAACTATATGATTGTTTATTTAATATTTTATTCCTTTTAAATGAAACTATTAACCTTAAAATCAGACCCCTTCGATACATTTTATACACTCAGCTTGCCAACTGCTGCTTCAAGAAGAGTATCTTGTCTGTGTTTTCTTATGTTATTGCTCTGTATTGTACTTACATTGGTAAGGTTCGCAACGAGCGACCAACAAATATTAGTGCGAAAATCATAGGGAATCTTGTAGACCTAATTTGTAAATATCCGGTTATAAAATATGTTTTCATTAATAAAGTTCTAAAAAATTATCCCAAAGTTCCAAAGTTTCACTTTTCTGTAAAGTTTTACTTATTTTAGCTGGAGATGTCTGATACTCGGACAAATGAATATTCGGTTGTCTGTGAACGTTCCCAGCTGTCTTCAGTCAGTGTCAATGACGTTGTAAGGTATGTAACGTTCTGCTGTCATAATCTGAAAAATATTTTTGTCCGTTTAATGATGTTTAGTGAGAAACCTATAATATTCTAGTAATAAACAATAATTTTTTATAAGTAACTCTCTCTACATCACCATTAATTTGTTTTTGCAGTAACCATCAGTATCATTTTCGTTTGATCGCTCATAACGATGCGGGTGATAGCGAGCCATCCGAAGCACTTGTTGTTCGAACTCCTTCCTCGCCGTCCGGTACGCCTCCCCCAACGCCTTCACGACCACATATCATTTCAAACAATGGAGTATGCCTTGAAATTGGATGGAAAACGGGACGTATGAATGAGAAAGATCTTGGATACCTACTGGAAGGTAGCTCAGATGAGAAATCTTGGACTGTGGTATACAGAGGTAACGCAATAAGTACGCAGATTCGTGGTCCTGAAATGCGAGCTTTTCGAGTAGCAGCACTGAGAAAGCAGTTGCAGGTAATTAATTCAGCAATATTTATACCTTTTGCTATAAATTTTAATGAAAAGATGATTCAGAGGATGCATCTTTTTTCAATGTTTTGTACTGGTGGAAAGAAACGGATGAATAAAGGATACTTTTTTAATGTTTAATTTATTGTAACAAGGAGCTAAAAGCAATGAATCGGTGATTTAATTTCCTCTGATCCACAGTGGGTTCCTGTTTTTACTATCTTTGCAATTTGAAGAGTGGATGGAGTGATACGTTGCGTATTCGACGCGAAGAAAAACGTGTCATACCAGTTCCGGGACAGTGTGCAGCACCTACAATTAGCGAAATCTCAAAAGGCTGTTTGCGTATTCAGTGGAATCCACCGGACAGTATAATGTCCTCGATAAGTTACCAACTCCATCGTGTCAATTTACAACCTTCCAGTATCATTTATCAAGGTTAGAACAATTTTGTTGCATTTCCGTGGGATGAAGAATTCATCAGGAACTCACCTGAATACCGTATTATTTAAACTATTTTTTTCTTGTAAGTTGTGGTCAAAATCTGGTTCTAGCAGTTATTTTCAAATTCAAAATTTTCGAATGACAAAAGACCAGAATTGGAAAAGTGGTGTTTTAATAATGATAGTCATTACTCATCCTACAAAGTTGCTGTTTCGTGTGGCGATGTTTTCAAATACATAATGGGATTTTGATGAAAGTGTTTTCATAAGTAGCAGCAATTGTTTAATAATTACTACAACTTTGATATGCAAACTGAATGCATAGTTAGGTGGTAGATTTTGCTAGTGTTTTCTAACGAAGCCATCCCACCTCTAATTTTAAGACATTGCAATCATCATATGGCCTTTTAACTAATTGGAGAAAGAAACACATCTTACGCTTTTTATTATTCACTTTGTTCATTTCAATCCATACTTCAACAGTTTTTATGGACAGTCAAAAGACACAGTGGTTATAAGTAACCACTTCAAGAAAAAAACAGAAATAGTTTGTTTTTTAATAATACTGTTTGCTGTTGTTGTTTTTATAATTTAATACATATTTAATATTTATTTTTACAGGTGAAGCAACAATGTTTGACTTATCAAACTGTGCCCCGGGTGAAGAGATAGAAGTGCAGGTTCGTGCCATTTCTATTTCTTTTGACGGGACGCGTTTGGAGGGTGAATGGAGTCGAGTGGCTGTTGGAAGAACTGCCGCACAGCCGCCATCACCGCCAACTGATGTTTATGTTGATACCGATAATGTTCTTCATTGGTCACCGCCAAATAGTACCAATGGAGCATCCATTACGGAGTATATTATTGAAAGAATCCTTGTGCTTTCATCATCCACGTCAGTTTTGGAAATTTTATTTTAATTGGTGCAAATTAAAAGACTTCATCGCTTACACTGCATCTTTGTCCAAAATAGTCTCTCTTATTACATAAATGCTTCTTAATTTTCGGGAACCACATGCCTTCCTTCCACTATATTTTGTATTTTTCAATTTGTGGCACCCATTACGTTGTATCGTTTTGGTTTGCATGAACTAAATTTCTCGAGGAATATAAAGCACTTCGTATTATTTTCGTAAACTTGTTTTAGTGCACTGCTTTCTAAAAATAAAGTTTTACAATGGTGTCCTCAATCTTCGAATTTAGTCATTATTTATTGAAAGCTTTAGATCGAAATCTAAGAGTGACAACGACCAGGCGACTAGTGCAGATTGTGGTTGGACAGTAAAACGTGAAAGCGCCGAAGTTCTGAGTATTAGTGTAGCTGAAGGACAACCTGGCTGTAAGTATCAGCTTAGCGTTTCGGCAGTAAATAGTGGTGGTACCAGTGTTCCTAGTGAATGCATCTATGTTTCTGTTCCTCCTCGCACACCTGCTGCTCCATTGAGTTTTCATGCCCTTCCACAAGGTAAGTTTTTATTGACTTTAAAAAATTTTTATCTAAATTGAATTTTTTCAAAGGATACTGCTACTACATACACGATTTTTTTTAGGATACTAAGATTGTATACTGTGCGCTTGTATATGTCAAAATAAAACTATGACAGAACGTAGAAGGGGATGAGCATATTATAACTACTTAGAACTAGTTAGCATACATTCGAAATCAGAAAATTAGCAAGAATTTTATGCATACGGTATACGGTACGGTATAGATCAAAATAGTTTTTAGGTTGTAGACAGCTGAAAGCATCATGGCGAGCACCTTGCTGTAATGGAAGTGAAATTTCCGAATACAGTATCCGTGTACTTGATGATTCTTCCGGTAATGAGATACGCGTGATACAACAAGAAGCATCCATATGCGAATGCATTATCGATTCGCTTGAAGCCGATCGCACGTACAGGTTGATTTCGATTTCTATTGTTTTTGGGATACTTTTCGCTTTCTTTTGTTTACATCCAGAATTCCTTAAGATAAACCCCAGTTTTTCTAATATTTCATTGCTGAAAATTTGCAACTTATAACAGTTCTAAATTATGCGACTTATAGCAGTTTTAAATTGCGTCTGCAGTTTCTTAATCAAGGAGTAATGATTTTAGGTTGTCGGTCCATGGCATAAATGACATTGGAATGGGTGATCCATCGTGGACAACAGCCACAACACTGGCACCTCCCCCACAGCCTCCTAATTTGCTCTGTTCCGAAGCAGGCCCGAATTATTTGAAGCTGAAGTGGAAACCACATGGAAATTCACCTACACTGACCACCACTCAATATTACTATTATTTGGAGAAAGAGAATGATAACGGGAAATTTTCACCGGTTAATAAGTTATAATTTAAATTAAAATGAAGTAAAGTTTATAATGCAGTGATTGAAACTACAATTGCACCAGGGCTTTTTGCTAATTACTCACTTTCTATGAATTTTCAGTGCTTTTATTTAATTCGGAACCGTTCAAACCCTTATCATTCTGCAGATTTATGAAGGCGACAATCGTTATGCAAAAGTGCGCAATTTGAATGAAAGTACAAAATACCGTTTCCGTATTCGTTGTTCGTCACGAGTTTCGGGTGCCGGTCCTTGGTCTTCACCATTTGAATTTTCAACCGAACAACTGCCACCACCAACAATACGATCTGCACCGACGGTAACGGAAGTTGCATCAGGCTCTTTCCAGGTTACCTATAGCTGCTTATTTGTAAAGTATATTTGCCTTCGTTTTTGTCGGGGAAAGAGGAAGAAAGCAATAGATGTATCTAATTATTAATTTTATATAACGTGGAGAAAAGGAAAAGGAGCACTTTGAAATGCGTTTCAACAGATTTTTTTTGAAAATTTTCAACCAGGTTATCATTATATTTGCGATTATACTAAGGTAAGATGAACCTACTATGTTATCAGAGGATGAAGGTAAAATCGAAAAAATATATAAACAAATAACGTCATTAACGTCAAAATCAGAAATTATCTATAATAAAATAACGGAGATGGGAATGAGTTAAAGGGTATTTTGAATTCATTATTTAAAACCCAGTGGTTCAGGTCTATGTTTTACCTGGTCATCATGAAATTTTGAAGTATGAGGGAACTTTTGTTCCTCATATTTCCAGATGATGTTATTAGTGATGTTACGTCATATTTTAATTTTATTTCTTTTTCTATCACATATTTTTAAGGTTGAATGGTCACCGGTTCGGTTATCATCAGCGAATGGCAAAGAATCTTTGTTATATCGCCTTCAAGTTGCATCTCGAAGTTCTGTCGAGCGATCGAACAATAACTGGAAAACAGTAACCTTTCAATACTTAAGATTTCTACTGATGTTTTATACATCGACTTGGCAATTTCTGTAATATGATTTGGAAAATTTCTTTTGTTACGAACATTATTCAACCGTAATTTGTTTGGAAAATGCACTTAAAAACTATCCTATGACAGTGCTTAAGAACAAATTTGAAACTGAACAAGAATCGAGTTATAAGATTTAGTTGTTTAAATTACTCGAATTATTTCCAAAAATAATTGAGAAAAATTTTTTTATAGGCTTACGAAGGTATTTCTACGTCTTACTCACTTTCGACATCTGAGAGTGTTCAGCTTCGTGTTCAATGTGTGCGGATCAGAGATGGAATTGAAAGCGTTTCAACACCATCCGCTATACAGTTTGCAACTCCATCGCTTGCTGTTATACCTCGTAAAAAAACACTTGAAGTAACTGAGCAGGAGATGCTTGCTATTCGGGCGCAAGATATTAGTAACGTGCAATGGATCCAGTATCATATTTTGTCCGATAAACATTACGCATTCGTCATTTTGGTTGGTTTTAGTTTTTCATTTGAATCGCTTGTATTGTAATATGAAGTTGATGTTCTTTTCCAACCTATCACAGAATTAGAGGAAGGTAGCACTTGATGTACTAGTTGTAATTTTTATTGGTCACCATAACTGTTCCCATCTTCCTCACTATTGTTTTTACTATGGTTCTTATATTATGATATTATTATACACTCGAGATTTAGAAGTAGTAGAATTTTTTGTATTAGCTATGTAAAGATATTTCAGCTATTTTTATGTAGAGGATTTAATCGGTTTTCATAGCCTAACGAAAATCTGAATAAATAGAAAGTAAGACGGTCAAATATTTGCATATATTTTTCTGAAGAAATAATATGTAAAAACATATCTCTGGACACAAATTTGGATCTGAAAGCTATGTTTTTCACATTTTTTATTTTTAGTTGCTTTTTGCCGGTATCGCATTTGGGGTAGCACTGATACTGGATGCATTGTTATTTGAACAGTCATAATTTGATGGATATTACATGTTTTCGGAGAGACGCAACTGACAGAGCATCATATGACGTCAATGAATTCATCACAAACATTCACTGGTCTTTTCCGGAGAAAAGTTACAAAGAAAAATCAAAACTTTTTGTCCTTGTTTTTTGTAAGAATGCAACCAGTTCGTCCTTTTTCACTCCAATTAAATATTTTTATTTCTTATACAGGATGCATTTCTTTGCGTTCGCTGCGATAAGTAATTTATCTCGTGATTTATCTGCTCTTTTTGTTATAAAAATTTCTCCTTTCTTTTGTCATTTTGCTTTCCTTATTTCACAAACTCTTCTGATTATGGTTTATTATGTTTTAATTGTGACGATTCACAGAAGGACAATCAGAAGGTCTACAGACGAACAGTGTGTATAGCTTCTCTTTATTTGCTTTTCCTTGCACAGAATTCCTTTTTTTCTGTGTTTTTTTTAGTTTCTCTTTCCACTTGGGGGTTTTCTGAAAAACAATCATAATGGAATTATACAAAACTATTATTTATTCTAAGCTATCTATTTCTTATCTGTTTCTAAAAACAACATTGTTTTACTGATATGCGTAATCACTCATATTATTATCGGTTTAATCTTTATGTATCTTGATTGCATTTGAGTCAGCGTGGGTTTTCAATTTTTTGAATTATCCAGGTGAAATATTTTTTTGAGATGTACCGAATTCTGCTGCTATTAGTTAGTGATAAAATAACACTGTCCTCCATATTCAGCAAGTATGTAACTATAATTTAGCAAATTTTGGATGAAATTCTGTTGCATACTTTACTATGATATCATTGTTACTGTATTGCTCTCCTTGAACTGTCCTTTGTTCATCCACTCATATATTCCTCTCCTACTTATATCCTTTCATTCACACATGCAGCTCAGAAGTGCTAAAACCATTTGTGGTGTTTCATTGCTGTTTTCTCATTCGATCGTTCATTGAATGAGCCATTCAGTCAATTATCAAGTTCGCTTCATTCAGCTGTATATTATTATTGTATATAATAAGCATAAATAGCATCATGATATGCATATGCGTGCATGTATAAATGCATATTTACATATGCTATCTTATTTTTTTTTTTTTTTTTTTTTAAGCCGTAGTAAATCTGCCCCCTTTTGCACAATAATTTATGCATTTGCAAAAAAATCCTTCATTCTAAAGATGAAAAACAATCCCTTTTCTGTCATCTATTTTTGTTTCCTTTCTGAGATTTGATGCATATCATATTCTGATTGATTCACCATAGTATGACCGGTATCTGTGCAGTGATTATTTCCATTGCTAATATGTTTCTCCATCTTCAATCCTTATACACTGCTATTATCCTTATATATTTTTTCCCTATGCTACTCATTTTTTTTTTTGGATTATATAAGTATAAAATTCCGTGTCATGCACAGATAAGTTCTTTCCTTCCGCTATCCGCACTTTTCTCTATTTGAGGGTCCACAAATGGCCAGTGTATTTTTTTCTTTTTTTTTTAGACTGTTGTTCATTGCTTTCGTCCTTTCTGTCTCACCAATTACTGCTATGTCTGTCCATCTCTGCTCTTAATTTATTTATTTTTTACTTTCATTGTTTTCTGTATTTTTGAAGGAAAAGAGGAAAGTACATTACTATTATTATTATTATTATTATTATTATTATTATTATTATTT